AGCTGCATGTACATGGAATTATATTCCTAAATGTATAGATATACATTTAAAAATGTGTGTGCATGAATATGGGTTTGGTGTTTATATGGTGATACTGACTGATCTATCTATCTATCTATCTATCTATCTATCTATCTATCTATGTTTGCACACATAAATATACAAATGCGATGTTAACATTGCCTTCGCTTATAAAGGACCTATTTAGTATCTATGAATCTAGATGTTTAAATTAATTAGAAGGAAAACATTACTGAAAAAAACAAAACAGAGAAATAATTTATTTCAACAACAGAATTTAACTCTTTCCTTTTTAAAACTGATTTAAAAAAAATGTTTTCTTTCGAGTTTGCTTCGTGTATCTTGCCTGGCTTTTAAAAAGAGCGGAGACGGTAGTAACAAAATTAGAATCAATCAATCAATCAGTCAATAAGTAACGATAATGATAAAATTAATGATAATAATTTTCTGAAGTTTGTCAGAGCTTCTTAATTGAAGCATTGTAATTATTAATTATTTTGACTATTTTTTTTTTCTTTTGATATTATTTTAGTGGCTTTTAGTAGAAGTGTACAGGTTGTTTTCCATTCTACAACCGCTAAGCAAACAGTAGTACTTACTTCTAAATCATTTTGCTTGCTTCCCGGTCGTAGAATAAAAACGACCTACACTTGGCGATAAAAAAAAGCAAGAAATATAATATGAAAACATAAATTAGCCGAAATAATTAATAATTTTCTTTCAATTTTATCATATTCGTTACAATAATCGAAAATAAAAAAATGTTAATATATTTTTCTTTTTATATATATTTTTCTTTTTATATATATTTTCTTTTTCTTTGTATGTTCAGTAGTATATTTTTGTTTCTTTTCTTTTTTCTTTTTGTCTTCTTTTTTCTTTCTTTTTTTTTCTTTTCTGTTTCTTTTTTAGTTGCCATTTTTTCCAAAAAAATTTATAAACATCATCATCTTCGGTTTTTTTTTTCTTTTTTTTTTTTGTTAAATTTTGTTAAATTAGTCATATCATTATTAAAAATATAACTTTGAAAATTAAAAATTACTCAATGACTCGCACGTGTCCTAACTTTTCTTCTAACATTTCTGAGAATTTCGTCGGCTATGAGCTGTATCGAATCAAGTTCCCGTAGCAGATCTATTGTGCTAATCGACAATGTGTCCAATTCGACGTTCAGCTCTTCCAGCCGACGTGTTATATTAGACGGAAATGATGACGGGTAGAGTAGACGCTTAAAAAACAAAGCATTGGCCCTGTCCAAGTTAAATTTTGCGTTGAATCCTAGGCATAATGCCATTCGACAAGGCAGCGAATACTCGCATTCGTTTTCGCCGCGACTCAAGTGGGCCGGGACATCTTTGAGTACGTAACCCAAGGCCGGTCGATTGTAGGTCGAACATTTCGGTTCGATATTATGGATATCATCCATATCAATCATTTTGATGCGGTCATTGTTAACCATCAGAAAATGTGTTTCCTTGAAGTCGGAAATGCGTAAAGACCCCACAGGTGAGTTTTCCAGGTACTGGAGAAGGGAGACTAGCTGCCGTGCGTGTTTGAGACGTGTCTGCCAGGGTAGAATCCTCAAGTTGTCAATCATAAAATGTTCTCCAAACTCGTGGACGGCTATAATGCCGTGTTCGGATAGGTCTGTCGTGTCTGTCTCCTCACTGCGGACACAGAATCCTAGTAATTTTATAAGGTTCGGGTGACTCAGCTGCTCTAGAAGGAGGATTTCTTTCATTATAGCTTCATGGTTGGGAATACAAAGCATTTCTCGCGAATCCCTGGCCGAGTTGGGATTGTCTCCTTGCTCCTTGTACCGTTTTAGGCAACTCTGGATGTCAGACACATGCCGGGTGACCATCTTGACGGCCACTTTCATGCCGCGGAAAGTGCCTAGATAGGTCTGTTTGGACACGCCGTGTCCGACCTTGCGTACAATTTTGATATGATGGATATTGGAACAGTTGAAGATATACTCTCGAAAGATCTGATGAGGATGAATATTATTGGTGGGTCCGTAAGCGAAAGTGCGCACCGGGCCGCGCTGTCGCTGCTGCTGTTGTTGTTGCTGACGCAGACGCTGTTGCAATCTATGTTGTTCCAGCAGTCTTTGCTGCTGTTGTATTTTGTGCAGTTGCATTTGCTGTAACTTCTGAAGACTGCTGCTGGCTCCTGTCCCGGCACTGACCAGTTGCTCAGGAAAGATTCCCTCCTCGACTTGTTGCTGTAGCTGCCTCATTTGTTGGTCAGTGCCGTGAGAGGTGAAGTTTTCCAACTGGAGCAGTAATCGGGTGATGTTGCCCAGGCCAATAATTCCTCTCCCGATGCCTCCGACGCCTGCGCCAGGGCCCCCGCCGGCCGCAGCTTCAGCCCCCGCCAGCCCGCCGTCTGGGGCTAGAAGCTTCGTGAGGGTCACCCCTGGTTCCTGGGGGCGGCTACTGTCCCACGTGCAGACCGTATTAGGTACGCGGTGCATGAGAAACACATATCCGGCTAATGGCAACAAAAGTGGTAAAAGTTTGGCGTATGCTTTTCGCATAACTGCTTCTTCGATGTCAACCCAATATCTGCCACAGTCCCGACCGAAAGATTTAGTTTTCCAAGAAAACAAAACTATGTAATTAAAATGAAAAGAAAAAAAAAAAAAGAAGAAGAATTAAAAAAATATATCGTTCAGAAGATGATTAACCACCGACACCATATATATAGTCACAAACAACAACAGCAGCAGGAATTATATTTTATGATGAGGAAGATGATGATGAAAAAGGTTAAGGAGACGAGGCGACAGCGGCAGTAGGGGTGTCGGTGGTGATTGCGGTGTCAGTAACAGAGGTGATGGTGTAGCTGCAACAGGTTTCAGTTTATGAAAGACGTAAAAAGGGAACTGTACGAAAGAGAACCACCGCTATGACGGACTGTGGCAGAATGTATAAAGGTGGCAACCAATTGGCGAGATAGCGGTCGTTACTATCTCCTTTCTACCTGGGCGGTGTGTGTATTAAAATCGAGGCTCGCGCGCTTACGAGACTGTATCTCAGTATGCCTCTCTTGTTTAACCTCACCGCCGTTTCGAGCGTGCGTGAGCACGTGTCTATCTGTACATCGTACGTAGCCGTCTCTCGCCTTAGTTGCGCCTGTGTATCCAGTGTTGTCGTCTACATGTAAAATGGTGTGCGCCTCTCTCAGTCCCCATGAACTACCTGTTTTCTACCCGGTGTTTAAACCTCTGTGTAAGCGTCTGTGTGTCTCGATGTTCATATTTCTACCGTTTTCTCCTTCCTCAACAACAACAACAACACCTACTACTACTACTGCTGCTCTTACAATCACTGCCGTTACTCCAACTACGCTTTTATTTTTACCTTGAGTTACCTTGTGTTACCTTTCTCTTATTTTACTACTCCCACTCACTTTTATCATTCCTCCTCCTCATAACATTACCTTATTCAACAGCCTTCTCCTCTTCCCCTTCCTCCTGCTCCTCTTATTTTATTCCTCCTCCTTCACCCTGACGAAACTCCTCCCACCCTCTATTTTTCTAATTACCTTTTCTTTTTTACTCTCTTTTTGTTTCAAATATGAAAGTCTTGTTTCTTCTTTTCTTTTTGCTGATACTTTCATGTGCGTATTTTTATGTGTGTGTGTGTGTTTGTGCGTAAGAGAGAGAGAGAGAGAGAGAGAGAAAGCAAGGTAGAGAAAGAGAGATAAAGGTAGAGAGAGAGAGAGAAAGAAAGACACTGAAAGAAAAAGATCGAGAAAGCGAAAGAAAGGGAGAAAATAGAGAGAATCGAAAAGGCTCTGTGCCTCCTACTCTCCTTTTTTATACAACAGCCTACAACTCAAACGCCCTTCCCTCCTTCAATTTTAAATATCCCTCCTCCTCCTCCTCCTTCTGCCCTCCTTCCTTTCTGTTCTGTCGTCATCATTGTCGTCGTTTTCGTCATATTTGTGAGAGAGGGCGTCGTCACTGTTACCACCACTACTAGTACTGCCGTCATTGATACGTCCGTGATGTCTTACTTTTTTGTTTTACGTTTTGTCTTTTTCTTTTTTTTTTTTTTTCCTTTTTTTTTGTGGGAAGGTCCTTGCTTTAGGTTTTACTGCTGCTGTTATGGTTAAGGTTAGAGTTCAAAATTATTATTATTATTATTATTATTGTTGTTGTTGTTTCTGTTGTTGTTATTACTGTCCATTATTCGTACAGGGACAAGAAGTGTGAATTTGAAATGAGAAAAAGCATCCAGTCGACGTCGATTCGAAGCCGCTGTCCTGTGGAGTGCGGAGAGTCGTATAAACTTGTCAAATCAGAAAGCGCGCGCTACTGCCGATTGTGTGAGCACACGAAAGCCGCTGAGTGTGAGTGAGAAAGTGGGTGAGTGAGTGATTGAGTGAGTGCAAGAGGCGGGGGTGAGAGTGAGACGGAGATCGGAGACTGGAAGAATGAGTACAGGTAAAGGCTAGGAGATCGTTGGTTAACAAAGTGAGCGAGTTTGCAGGTGAAATTTATAAGGGGAAGGAGGAGGAAGAGGATGAAAATGCCACAGGTGTTTGGATAGAGTATTGGGCTGCCGGCAGTGGGGTTATTTTCGAATAAATGACTTAGATAAAGATCATCAGCAGACGGTCATCTTGGTAATTATAGATTATGTTAGGCACGAATGTATCTGGAAATACAATGAAAAGAAACGTATTAGCGTTTAGTTTCATATTCATTGAGGAAATTTTTGAGTGCTGATCAAATGCATTTCTTAACGTTTTGTTAGGCTGGCACAGGTTCAAAAGAGCAGAGCACCAAGTTTAAATAGATGCACTACATTAGTAATAGTCTAAAAACTAGTCATTTAAGCACGTCGATAAAGTAAGACACATATATTTCCGAAATAGTACAAGCCTAAACTTCATCTGAACGAATGCAACAAGTGGGAGACATCGAATGTTGATAAAATTAATATTCACATGCGCACATGCGTACACAAACGCGCACATTTATAGATGCACATAGCCACGCACACTCTAACGTGAGCTATTTATTAAAATGTGTCAGTTGATTGATAGATATAGAGATCGAGAGAGAGCAAGATAGACAGAGAGAGAGAGAGAGAGAGAGAGAGAAATTTCTCTAGCCAGTTAACATAATCTAGTAAAGTAGATATGAACAAAACAGATGTCTGTATAGAAAAGAGTGCGATAGGTATATAGAGAATGAGGGGAATAATTAGAAACAGTACAAATAGAAAAATTCAGAATGAGATAGATAGAAATATAATGAAATAGATGCCGAACGAAATATGAATAGATAGATAGATAGATAGATAGATAGATGAATGATAGATAGAAACAGAATTAGATATATACCAATATAATGAGATAGAAAGTAAATAGAGATAGAAACAGCAATATATATATATATATATATATATATATATATATATATATATATATATATATATATATATATATATATATATATATATAAATATATATATATATATATATATATATATATAAATATATATATATATATATATATATATATTTATATATATATATATATATATATATATATATGTGTGTGTGTGTGTGTTTTGTGTGTACACACACACATATATATATAGAGAGAGAGAAAATCAGGTAGAGAGATAAAAATAACATTAAGCAGACAGATATATATATATATATATAGAGAGAGAGAGAGATAGAGAGGAGAGAGAAAGAGAAGGGAGAGAGACCATGCAGAATGAGATAAATAAAAATAATGAGATAGAAATGTATTAAATAAATTGATAGATAGAAATATATATATATATATATATATATATATATATATATATATGTATATATATATGAAGATAGATAGAGGTAGACAGAATACGATAAGAATGAAATACAATAATTAGATAGATAGATGATAGATAGATAGATAGATAGATAAAGAACGCTGAGGTAGAAATACGATGTGTTAGAAACAATTAGATACATAGATAATGAACAGAAATAGATAGATAGATAGATACAATGAAGATACATACATAGATATAAAATAAAATAAATTGATAAGCATTTTTTAAATTTTTTAAATAATTAAGGTGAAATTTTCTGTAATTAGACAAATTACATATTTTTAATTCCCAGTGGAATATCACTTACACAACTCCAAATATAATGAAATGTCACTTGATATTTATTTTCATTTCTACTCACTCGTACTAATCAACGACCTTTGTGATTTTTTCGTGCATTTATGCTTACAATTTTAAAAAAATCGTTTGCAATAAACCATCAAGATTGAAGTGGGTTCTGGAAATTAAATGTTAAAACTTTTTACATTACCCGATTTATTTTATATGCAGTTTAGAACTTTTTCAGTATTAAATTTGATTCATTTTACTTGCAACTATAAGTACTCTAGTTGATTAAATCCTTGCTCATTTTATTTTTAAGTTTAAAGCTAATAAACAAAAAAGAATACATTTTATTAAAACTAAACTATTAGAATTGATAGAATTCTTGAATACAGTATAAATAAATAACGCACTCATCAACTCCGCTTAATTTTATTTATTTTTATTTATTTTAATTTTGAATGTTTTTGCTAAACTAACATCAGTAGTGTTGTTGCTTAAGATATAGAGATATTTGATTATCGTCTTTGTCTCTTCTATGTATTGTTTCCCTTCAGGAATATTGGTGATTATAATGTTCCACTATTTTCTGTCCTTTGTAGTTCATAATATTTTTTGTCTTTTTGCTATTACTTCCAAACCCTACTCATTCACACAAGACGAGATGATTATGAAAAAATCGTGTAAATTATTGAAACACTTGAAATAATGAAGCAGTCGTAAAATATTATAATTAATAAGCCTGAAAATAATTTCAAATTAAAGAATGTCGTTTTAATTAAGAGATCATCGTCATCAGCAGCAGCTGCAGCAGTCCCAGACAAGTTGCGGTCGGAGGGTCACGGCGCAGCTGTGTATCTGACCGGTTTCCTTCACATATCTGGGTTGATAGCCGGTGACGAATCAATTGCTGTGTAGCGTGCCTTGGGCAAGTAGATATGCCGGAACCAGTTTCTCTTCATGTCAAACCGCATACGATATCCTTCAACTTGAAGGCTTTTATTGGTTACAAACACATGGCCCTCCATTCCATCGGATGGATACCCCCCACCAACCTGGTCGATGACCAGTCTAAGATGCCAGCCACCAAAGCGATGATGTGTCATCACCACACTCGCTGTATAAATTGTACTTTACGACCGTTGGTTCGACAGGAAGGCTCACCAAACTTTTGGCCCTTTTTTTAAAAAAAAATCCAGCTGGTTGTTTAATCACTCTCCACACTAAAACAACCGGGTAATGTGCTACACGATACAAATAGAGTGATGTGATACAACTAAAAGAGGGATTAATTTATTAAGGTAAACTTGTATTGAAAGTGCTCTAATCTACGACAAATTCATATCTATCC